GACAATTATAATCGCGCCATTGACTTGCTCATTAACAGATATGACAACATAAGATACATTTTTCAGTCACACCTGCAGGCAATCTTCGACAACCAATCCTTTAAAGCTTCAAGTGCTTCTTTGCTACGAGAATTCATCGATTCCATAAATTCCATCTTCGCGCGTTACAATCGCTGGCGTCACGCAGTCAAGTTGCTGACGGAATTTTGTTGAATTTTATTGTCGCTAAATTGGATCCCGAAATGCAAGTAAAATGGGAAGAATATGTCGCTACTAAGTGGGATAATTCGTCGTCATCTTCGCTTCAGTTACCAACATGGGATGATCTAGCTACCTTTATTGAGCGCCGCTGCCAGACGGTGAATATCATTGAAGTCAGCAGAAAGGCTGCAGCTAAAGTGGCATCAGCTACCAAGGCACCCCTACCATTGAAGTCTAATACAACACTGGTGTCATCAGTAACCAACAATTGTTCATTATGCAACGAAGCTGTCCTGCATTCACCATTTAAATGTGAAAAATTTAACGCCATGTACGCAATGCAGCGCTACAATATCGCAAAGAAGAATCCTGTGCCTAAATTGTCTTGGAACGGGCCACACCTCTAGCAAGTGTCCATCCACACATCGTTGCCAACATTGCAAGGTGAGCCACCACACGCTTCTGCATCGACACCAGCCTCAGAGTTTGGAGATCACACAGCCTTCATCATCAACTGCGTTAAAGGCCAATATAGCCAGCGGTGACGTCATCCTTGCGACTGCCCTGGTTCAACTGTATACTAATCGTGGTATAAAACTAACCGTACGTGCACTGCTTGATTCAGCATCCCAGCTGAATTTCGTAACGGAGCGTGTAGCTCAAATGCTCCAATTAGCACGCAGCAAAATCAATACCGAAATAAGCGGTATTGGGGCCTTAACAACTAAATCATACCAAGGTGGTTTTGTTGGTCTCCAATCATTGCACAATGGATTTTCTTCGATGCTAGAGATAGTCATATTACCAGCGATTTCCTCGCATCAACCCCATAAATTTATAGATGTAACAAATTGGGGAATATCAAAAAACATTAGTCTAGCTGATCGCACGTTTAACTGCCCTGGACCAATTGATCTGCTTATCGGGGCTGGGCTTTTCTTCGATATACTCTCGGTGGGTCAGATTAAGTTAGACAAACATCTTCCATCACTACAAAAAACGCAGCTGGGCTGGATCATAGCTGGCACTATTCATTCACGACTCTTGGTATCATCATCGACTCTGCTTAGTTCATCGCCACCCCTCATCCCTTCCAGCATACTTACCACAACAGCGCAGCCATCGTTAGATAGTCTTTTAGAGAAATTCTGGAAAATAGAAGATAGCTACCACTCTCGAAAGGTTGAGCGTAGGTTGGAAGAGGCCGAGTGTGAGACTTATTTCCAAAAAACAACATCGCGTTGCCCTGTAACAAATAAATTTATTGTTCGCTTACCCTTCTCGACAAGTCCAGGTAAGCTTGGTCATTCATACGAAATTACTCGTCGTAGATTTTGGTCAGTGGAGAAGAGATTACTCACAGACCAAGCTATAAAAAACGAATATAAAGGCTTTATGCAAGAATATATTGAATTGAATCACATGGCCTTAGTACAACCATGTGAATTATCATCGAAGGTTGGTACGTATATCCCTCATCATTGTGTGGTAAAACTGGATAGTTCAACGACGGGGGTGGTATTTGACGCATCCTGTCGCACGTCAAATGGGGTTTCGCTGAATGACATTCTTCGAAGTGGGCCTACATTGCAAGATGACATATTCACTATTCTTCTTCGCTTCTGCACACATCGTTTTGTATTAATGGCCGACATAACCAAAATGTATCGGCAAATCATTGTGGATGATAGAGATGCGAAATATCAATGCATTTTATGGAGAAACTCACCAGATGAGCAACTCGGCACTTACCAGTTGCGGACTGTCACTTACGGAACCAGTTGTGCCCCTTTTTTGGCAAGAAGATGCCTTCAGCAGTTAGCATACGACAATGTTTCGACCCACCCGCTTGGGGCTGCAGTCACTTTACGCGACTATTATGTTGACAACTTAATGACTATCGAAGAAATAATGGCCATCAAAACGGAAATTATCGACTTACTAGCTAGCGGAGGATTTCCTCCTCGGAAGTTTGCGTCAAATAACGACAACATCATAGCTGACATATCTGAATCGGATAAGGAAGTAAATGTTAATATTGGTGACTTTTCATACATCAAGGCGCTAGGACTCAAGTGGTCACCTCAAGACGATGTTTTCATGTTTTCGTATACGCCTTATGATCCACCTTCGTCGAAGGTAAGCAAACGCGTAATTCTTTCGAAAATTGCGAATTTCTTCGATCCGCTCGGATTATTAAATCCAATTATAGTTACTTGCAAACTGTTGATGCAAGAGCTTTGGAAGCTCAAGCTACCGTGGGATGAAAGTGTTCCAATGTCCATCCACACCCAATGGACGGACATTTGTCATCAGATTACATCGGTTAACAAATTACGAGTGCCAAGGTTCGTACATTTCAACGTTGAAGCCCAACTACACGCTTTTGCAGACGCAAGCACAAGGGCATATGGCGCATGCATTTACGCAGTATCACATTCTGGTGGGACAACGCATGCATCGCTTATATGTGCTAAATCTAGGGTGGCACCAACCAAGGAGATGACTCTCCCTAAATTGGAACTCTGCGCTGCTGTTCTTCTAGCAGAGTTGGTACAATCGGTAGCAACTGCTTTCTCTGCAGGCCCTAGCAATATACATTGTTGGTCAAACTCTACCATTGTATTGTCGTGGATACAGGGTGAACCAACACGATGGACAACATTCGTTGCCAATAGGGTGATCAAAATCCAGCAGCTTACAGCAAACTACACTTGGCATCATGTGCCCTCAGAGGAGAATCCCGCAGACATAGTATCACGTGGAGCCAAGGTGCATGATCTCATCGGCAATAATCTCTGGTTCCACGGGCCAATTTTTGTGCAGCAGGCAGAATCGAGGTGGCCCGAAAATCCAATGAATAATATGGAAACGTTGCCAGAGCGGCCCAAAAAACATCACGCTCTCCTGGCAGCGCAGTCAGAAGACATAATTGCAAGTCATAAATATGCCAACAACTACTATAAACTTCTTCGCATCGTCGCTTATGTTCAGCGCTTCATATCACGCCTTCGTCGTTCACCAACTATGCACTCGGGGTCAATTGCCGCAGAAGAGTTGGATGCCGCCTTAATGCTCGTTTGTCAGTATATACAAAGACAATCGTTTGCTGCTGAATATAAGGATTTGCAGGAAGGTCGAGTAAGTCGACAGTCCAATTTCAATCAACTTTCGCCATTTATACATAACGCGTTGATTCGCGTAGGTGGAAGAATAAACCACTTTTCGTTACCTTTCGATGCCAAGCATCCAATTCTGCTACCCAGGACACATCCCTTCGTCGATCACCTTCATCGTCGTCATTTGCACGCTGGTTGCCAAACGTTGCTAAGCATCTTGCGTGACAAATTTTGGGTGGTTAATGCTAGATGCATTATAAGGCAAGTTGTACTTAATTGCATTATGTGCTATCGCAACAAGCCTCTGCTGCATGATCAAATAATGGGCTCATTGCCACAAGAACGAGTTGAGGCCGCATTCCCTTTCGCAACAACTGGGATAGATTACTGTGGACAATTTTCAATAACTCCACAATTAAGGGGTAGAGGCCTTATCAAGGTCTACTTGGCAGTGTTTATCTGCTTTAGTACGAAGGCAGTGCATTTGGAACTGGTTCCAAATCTAAGTACGATGGCGTTTATTTCTGCACTCAAGCGATTTATCGCTCGACGAGGTAAGTGCAACACAATCTTCTCGGATAATGCAACCCATTTTGTTGGGGCCAATCGAGAGCTCAAGGAACTTTTGGCACTGTTTGCTTCACAGCAACACATCGCTCCAGTGGAAACATTCATGGCCAAGGAAGGAATAAATTGGAAATTTATTCCCCCAAGGTCACCACATTTCGGCGGGCTTTGGGAAGGTGCGGTGAAGCAGGCCAAGTATTACTTACGCCGCACCGTGGGGTCTCACATTCTTAGTTTCGATGAGCTACATACAGTATGCTGCCAAGTGGAGGCCATGATAAACAGTCGTCCTCACACCGATTTCAACCAATTCTGATGGTCTTCGAGTGATCACCCCGGCACATTTTTTGACCGGCCGCACACTAAACGCCATTCCGGAGCCATCACTTTCTCACGTCAATATGGGTACACTTAAACGGTTTCAAATGATACAAGCCATTCAGCAACAATTTTGGAAGCGATGGCACTCAGAATATTTAAAGGAGCTGCAGCATAGAGGTAAATGGCAAACTCTTCGAGATAACTTAAGGGAAAATGACATGGTACTGATCAAGGATGAAAATACACCACCTCTAAAATGGGCACTCGGTCGAATCATTGAAACCATGGCTGGATATGATGGCTTAGTACGAGTTGTCATGGTAAGGACAGCTGATGGCGTGGTCAAACGAGCAATAACAAAGGTTTGCAAGTTACCAATTGAATCTTCAACTCACTACTAACAACAAACAATTCATCGCTACCACTACAACAATCATTGATTC